GTCGCGAAGCGCGCTCGCCCTCTGGCGGCGGCTGCCGGGACTGCTTGGCGGCCACAGGCGGGACACCTGCCGGGGCCCAGCAGCACCCCAGCTCCTCCCCCAGTCCTTCCTGCTGCTGTCCGCTGCACCCGTTCTTTCTTTCCTTCTTTTGGGGGGTGGGGCTTGAACTCCGGGCCTGGGCGCTGTCCCTCAGCTCTTCAGCTCAAGGCAAGTGCTCTACCTCTTTGTAATTGGAAATAAAAAAGGTTTCATGGACTTTCCTGCCTGGGCTGGCTTTGAACCGAGATCCTCGGATCTCAGCCTTCTGAGTAGCTAGGATGACAGGGCATCCAGCATCCGCCTTTTTTTCTTTTTCTCTCTTTTTTTATTCCTGGTATGGAGTCTTAAATTTAAGGACTGGGTGCTCTCATTTAACTTTTTTTTGCTCATGGCTGGTGCTCTACCACTGGAGCCACGCTTTGCCTTTCAGCTTTTTGCTGGAATTGGAGATAAGAGTCTCGTGGACTCCTTCTGACTAGCTGGGATTACAGGCTCCCATTAATGTCAGGTGGCATAGTCGTTCACAAAAGGATGCTTGTTAAGAGTCCAACCGCAAAGTCTCACATTCAGGAGGATATAAAGTGGGCTGTGGGTGCAAGAGTTGGGGGAGAAGGGCAGAGAGTGAATGTATAAGAAGGTAGGGCTTCAGTCCTGCAACAGAAGAAAAGTTCTGGGGCTGGGAAGGTGGCTCAGTGGTAGAGTGCTTGCTTGCCATGCATGAAGCCCTGGGTTCGATTCCTCAGCACCATATACTCAGAAAAAAGCCTGATGTGGCAGTGTGGCTCAAGTGGTAGAGCACTAGCTTTGAGCAAAAAGAAACTCAGAGACAGTGCCCAGGCTCTGAGTTCAAGCCCCATGACAGGTAAAAAAAGAAAATAAGAGAAGTTCTGGAAATGGATGGCTGCATATCAATGCAATGAACCCATGAACTATACACAAAAAATGGTCAGGGCTAAGAGCAGGCTCCAGCTGAGGCGGGGCCTGGCTTATTTCGCTGTTGCCCCAGCATTGGGGGCATGGCCCAAGCTGTAGAGGGTGTGTGATGATGCCCCCAAGAGAATATAAAATGTGAAAATAGAAACAGAACAAAATTATTGATTCTTAAGAATAGGGCCAAAAGGGGGTGGGAGATGGGAAGGGATGGGAAGGGGAAACAAAGGAAAAGGCAACAATGCTTGATAAGAAATGTACTCATTATCTTGCCCATGTAATTGTAAACTCCTCTGTACGGTATTTTCACAATTAAAAAAAAAAAATAGGGCCAAACTTGAAAGGCAGGATCTCCCTGTAGAAAAAAGACTCCAGGCTAAGTCATTAAAAAGATCCAAAGATAAAGGCTGAAGTAATTGACTGAGTTTAACACGAGTTACTGGAATTGGGTGAATGACAGCAAAACTCAGAAAGAGCCAGAAAACCTGGAAAGTGGTTTGATTTGGGATGTGATAAGAAGTGTTGGAATGTGGTTTTTGCTGGGCGGACTTACTACTTTTGCTTATAGAGATGGTAATTGCTATTTCACTAACTTGCTTCTTTGATGGGAAGATGTGGGATAAGGGCTTATGGCTTTGGTTATTGAAATGACTGGAATCATAATCGCCATTTTGTAATCACTAACTGCTAGCTCTGCTTCTGTAACTTTGCCGATGGAGAAACTATCACTGGCCACCTGTGAGTGGTCCTGTCTCCTCCCACCCCACCCCCACACGCCCTTGTGCTTGCTTTTAAATACCCTGAGCTATTTGACTTTATTGCTGTTCATCACAGTCTTGGTGTAGTGAAGGGAAGTCACCGCAGCTAATAAAGGGTCCGGGCCAGACAGTGACTCCTTCCGCTGATCGTGGGTTCCAGTGCCACCAGCAAGTACCAAGCCCTAAGTGCGAACCCCAGTACTGGCATGTGTGAGCGCGCGCGCGCACACACACCAATAATAATGAAAGAATGCTTCCCTGACCTCAGTGGGCAAAACACAGTTACAAAGTATGTTCTATAAACCTAGAAGAACCCACATGGGAAAACAGGAGATTAAGTGAGAAAAGTAAAGTGTACTCTGACACAAGCCTGGTACATTCCATGTTAACTGAAAATATACTTTGTACTTTGTTCCCACGGACTGATTGCAGGTAAGTAACAAGGCATGGAAGCTGGTGTGCAAGCCTAAGTTCATTTCCTCCCTAACTCCCTTTCTCGTGCCGTGTTTTGGAGGAACGTGCTGGAACTCACTATCCTTCCGCCTCTCTTGACCTGGTGCCGGGGTTGCAGGCACGCGTGGCCCTGCCGGGCCGTTGGTTTTGTTGTCTTCGGTCTGTGTGCTGGGATGGCACCCTGGGCTTCATGCATGTTAACCAACGCTGATCTAAGACACTGACTTTGACCTTAGTGTCCTGCGGTCGGTGTGGGCGCCAGCCCAGGCGTGAGCCACCAGCTCCTGGCTGCGGTTTTCCCGCCGGACGGTTAATGAACTGAGCAGGGTCGGAGCTGGAACCCAGAACCGGCAGTGGGGTAGAGCGCTCGGAGCCAGCGCCCAGGCCTGAGGTCGAGCCCCGGGACAGCACACACAAGAGGGTCGCACGACGACGGCCAACATCACCGACGAAGTAAAACGTGTACCCCGTGTAAAACGCAAACTGCATCCAAAAGCCCCCTGGGCCGCAGCCGCGGCGCGGGCTGCCCCGCG